CAAAATTACTTCAAAAAGTCATTTTAAAATACTTGACAATTGCACATCCTTCCAAAGAATGTGTATATCCCACATTTAATTGGTTTGTTTGAATTATGCAATTTCCTTAGTCATCACTATGACATCACTGGCCCTGTGATGTATATTCCGCCCCCTAAAGGCAAAACGTTATAACTACACATTTAGTTAAAATATATAGTTCAGTCATGAAACTCTAGATGGCGTAGGCGACTGGTTGTTAACGTAACCGATGATATTCAGAGAGTTAAACGACTTGGCACAAGCTGATTGGTTCATGCTGCATATGCAGCCAATGAGCTTACTGCCTTGCATTTATATGGCTGGCTAGCATTCACTTGAGATTCCTGCAGCGTGCTTTCAGAGTTCTCTGAAACCCTCCACCTTCCCCAGCTCCACCTGTATAGATATGCTATTTGTGCAGCAGCAGTATGTATTAAAAATACATTTACTACACCAAATACATTAACATTGTCATATCCATCACCATGTTAAATCTTCCGAGAGTTGTCATGACTAAACTTTAGTTATGACTGAAAGCTAACATTGCCATTAAGTTATGAAAATGTTTTTTTCTCTCTGAAGTTCTCTGAATGTTAAAAATATCCAGGTTTTTTTACGTTTAAAAAAAATCTTGGTTATGCGGACACAAAGAAAACATTCCATTTGAACATTTTGCAAACATTATGGAAGCATTACGTCTGAACATTCTAAAACAAATAATAACTTTCAAAACGTTTCAGAAAAAAAACATTCCATGAATGGTGTACATGCTGCTGTTTTAAGAACGTTATTAAACACCAGATAACTTTGAACAAACATTCTATAAAACATTTGTTTATAACTTTTAGAGAACCTGGCTAAAACATTATCCAAAGTTCTGAGAACGGGGAAAGTGAAGTGAAAACTGATCAAATCAATCAAAATTTGCATGTTTGCCTTTGTAGATCAGTATTATACTGAACTGCTATATGTATGATCTGGTAATTCAAACACAAAGGGTTGTTGAAATGCGAATAGCTGTGTAAAATGCAGATTCATTCCATTTGTGTCGGCAGTCTGAAAGCTGCCATATCCTCAATTTCCTCAGTCTCTGCTGTCATTCTGATGGGATGAGTCTGCTCTAATAACCTGATTTGTAATTGTCTATCATGGTTCTTTTCGCCTGTACCGACCTCTCATTTGGTTTACAATTAAACACAGCTGTGCTGCTTACTTTCCTGTGAGAAGTGTCATACAGGATTCTATGATGAATAGAAAGTTCAAAAGAGCAGTATTTATTTTAACGGAGTGTCTATTTACACTAAGTCCATATAGCCCGCCTTGTTGGCAGAGGCTATTTACACTAGCTCCACCCACAACGCATGATAGTCGACTATCATCGGCGTCAGTGGCGTAGATGGTAAAACGCGTACCATCGTCTTTTTGATGCGATCGACCCGGGTTCGAATCCGCCTTTTCAAATCTCATATCACATCGGAAAGGCATTTATTTTCAATAAAAATTAAGGAAATAATCAAAAAGTTGAAAATAAAGTATTGGTTAGGGTAGGTGTAGGGAGGGCTTTATTGTCCCAATAAGGTGGCATCCATTTAATAATTTGAATTAAAATGATAATTTACACGCAATACGTTATTACTGCATACTGTTTTAAAATGCACTATAATACTGAGGTGCAGATAATTGCCACTATTTGCAATAAGTAGTATAAATAGCAGAAAATCCTGCTATTTTAACATAGTGTAAATAGAATACATTACTATTTGCACTTAGTGTAAATAGCATCTAATAGCTATCACCACTTAGTGTAAATAGCCGCTGCCTTATTTTAAATAGAAATATTTTGTAACAAATGTCTTTACTGTCAATTTTATGTCATTCTTCTTGCTTAATAAAAGCATTAATTTCATTAAATAAATAAATAAAAATCTGACTGACCCAAACTTTTAACATAATTGTTTGCAGATGCCATTTGGTTTGATATTTTGTTCATGCTTTCAGAAATGAAGTGTAGCATATTTGTCCAAATAGTTTTCGGTGCTAACTCATTTTGCTTAGTAACTCAGGATCTGCTCTTGTTACCTTTGTAAACATTCCCAAGGAATTCTGGGAAATCATCATATCTGACGACCAATCGCCCATAGAGGCCAGCAAGGCAAGGCTAGAGAAGAGATGAATCTGATAGCTGTCAGGGTGGTGTTTTTGTGTTTTGGTGAGTTGGAGTCACTGAATCTGAAGGGCTGTTTTGATGCTTTAGGAGGTTTTGGAGTATACATTTTATGATCAGATGTAATCTGATCCACTTCACTGCTTTGCCAATGTTTTTGTTGCTAGCATTCAGGATATTGGCTAATATTTCTCCTTGTTGAACAGATGTTTTATTAACGCACGGCAAGGTCAATGCAGAATCACCAGTGTGGATGAACATTTGTATGCAAATGGTATGCATTAACCTAGTGTTGCTCAAAGGTTTGCAACAGGAATGGCTAAGATTCTGGATCGGAACCAAAATAAGGGTAGTGTGAATTTAAAGGTTGTAAATTGCTAAGTTAGTATGTTTCACTTATCTCACGATCAAAGGTTCAGGACCGTGAAAACTCATTGTCAGTGAAGACTTTTTTCCATCAGCTCTTCAACACAGAAACGGTCAAATGTTTCCAAGACAACCGAGGGGGGAAAAAACGCATGTCGTTTGGTTTAGTCCAAAAAAGAAAGGTTTTCTTTCATCTTAGTCTTTTAAGAATTTTAAGGGGATAGTTCAAATAAAAATGAAAATTCTTCCATCATTTACTTCCCTTCATGTCGATCCAAACTCATAAGACGTTCTTTTTTGTTGTTGTTGTAAAAAAAAATGAAAGTTTCATTTCATATGATTGTGTGCTATATTCCAAGTCTTCTGAAAACATTTGACAGGTTTTGTATAAGGAACAGACCCAAAATGAGATTGTTATTTGCTGAATATCGTTCCTTCCACTGCAATGCATCATTAAACTGAACTTAAGAACTAGATCAGTCTGATTTGTAAATGAATCATTTAGACTAATGCTGTGAACTGACTCCATTTATTCACATCACTACTTTTTCTCATGAACATACCAAGAAGGACTAGTGTGGATCTCAATGTCTTTTCCTCACACAAAGCTGTCATGTGACTTCAAAAGACTTGAAATATAGTGCAAGAGTTGTATTTTATAACACTTTGATGGTGCTTTTTGGTCATTTTCGGAGCTTGACAGTCCCACTCCTCATTTACTTTCATTATATTGACAACAGTGGCCAGGATGTTCTTTAGAAATTGTGTTTGACAGAAGAATGCATACAGGTTTGGAACAACATGAACAGTGTTTATTCTATAGCAGTATTCATAAACAAATTTGTATTAATATTTTGAACTAGCTTGGTGTATTCTGAGAGCAAGCGAGTGAGCGAGATGGGGGTAGTTATGTAGCGTGTGTAGGTATATAGTACAGTGAGGTATTTATGCCACTCTGTTTTAACAAAAGCCTCTTGACAAAAACGAGGCCATCTGCTCTTTTGGCTGTCTAAACAGTTTTCAGTGGCGTTGTCTGGCTGTTTTACTGTGTGAAATTCCCATGTGATTGAACGGTGGAAACATCAAGGACTTACAATTTATATGAATGTTATGACGTCTATTCATTCAGTATCTCAATGTCTGTCTGTCCATGTCCTTCAAACATGCCATCAATGGTCAGCATAACATTACAGTAACAGGAAATATGCTTAATCTGCATGAGAATGCCATTCACTGATGATTTTGTTGGCATGCAAACAATTTCTGTCATTGCTCTGTGATTTAAAATCTCAAGGGTCCATATTTCTCTCAGTATGCTTGAAAGTGCACTGTTTCATTGATTCGACTGTGCGTATGACTTTTATTAGTTGTGTTACGGACACATTTTCTTCAGGAAATAGCTGTTGTCCTAATATTGTGTGTGATTGGATTTACTCTCCAGGGGGAGCTTAGCTGCCATTCAGCCAGCCCGACCAAAACCTTCTTCAGCCGGGGTACGTTTAGTCGGCCCTCTAGCCCCATGTCCGCACCGGCCCGATTCAGAAACAGCCCTGAATCGCCCAAACCCATCTTCCCATACTCCTCCAACCACGACTCCTCGCCCAAGTGTTCACGTCGCCGCAGCTTCACCGGAATCTTTCGCTCGTCCTCTAAAGACTCCACAAATCCCTCCACATCTCCTGTCAGCATCAAACTTTTCTCTCGGGCCAGGAAAGGTAAGAAACATGCTTCATCCATCTCTTTTAGGTATATATTTTTTATATAAAATATGTTTTATGTATAGTACTCTACAATTAGTTATGGTTAGTACTGGGTTGGCAGTCATCTGAAAATGTAGTCTTGATTGATTGTGATGTTAATTATATGACTTAACTCACATTTAACCCCTTATTTGATTGTGAATGTAACATTCAGCCAGACTAAAATATTGTTTAAAGGGGACATCGGATGCCCATTTTCCGCAAGTTGGTATGATTCTTTAGGGTCTTCATGAAAAATAATTTAGGTGTATTCATTGGCGCATTACCATCAAAAACAAAACTAATCCACTGCGTCCTCAATGGCTCTGATGTTGGGAGAAAATTAAGACTCTTATGTTCACTTTTCTATCCAACTACAAAACACCTGCATTGCTTACGAGTCATTGTTGAGTGCGGAAATATGTAAATACGGGACAGTCCGTCAGCGGTCGTGGGCAGGGCCTAGGCAATATGACGTCATGTTGCTCAGAAAATCAAAACGGCTTGATTATTGAGACTGTTTAGGTTTTTTGGTGATTAAAAAAAAAAGTAGTGAATGGATTTTTATCATTGTAGGGTGGTTGTGTCCACACACTGCTAAGACACATTTATATGCAAACACCATGTAAAAGTGAATTTTGCATCCGATATTCCCTTTAAAGAGCAGGTCATATGGTATTTTAAAGTGTCCTAATATTGTGTTGGAGTCCCTTACAACAGGTTTAAATGCATCTAAGGCCAGAAAACATTGTAATTTTCTCAGAATATACATTTAAAGTCAGCATGAAACGGAAGTTCCGATTGTTTTTTTTTCTTTATTGTGACGTATATCCAAGTGAAATGGCATCTGAAATGATTTCGTCCTTCAGGAATTGATTGGATCGTTGGAAGGTGGGTCGTTGCAAACAAAATGGTGGCAGATCTGAATGTCAGTTTGCAGTTAGTGGTGGGGGATTTCTCTCGACTGGATTCACCGCCGACATCCAAGCATGAATAAATGTTTTATTTATTAAGGATGATGACAACGATCAACAGCAGAAAACATGCCTAAACAGCGCGCGAGAGAGAGAGAGAGAGAGAGAGAGAGAGAGAGAGAGAGAGAGACACTGCCTGAATGACTGAGCCATCAGGTTAAGTCATATTCATGAAAAAATTAGTTTGTGATGTCCTAAGAGTAATGTTGTCGTAATATCCTAATATCTTTTCAATGTTTAGGGATAAGGTACTCCGTCATGACTGGTGTCAGTGCTATAAAGTGAAGCATCAGCTTCAGCTTTTCCCCCTGTTGTTTATCCCAGCGTTTACCCCTCACGTCACTAGCTCCGCCCTTGCGCCATAGCTCGTGACCGGAAGAGAAGATGAGTCGTTTTGAGGGGGAGGGGAGGTTAACGTTTTTGATTAAAGATTAGGAGGGCACATGAATTTAAAAAAAAATAATGAAGTGCATGGATAAATTATTTATAATAAACACTACAGTATTCCACTAAAAAATAAGAATTTAAAATGTTGATTTCATGGTGACTTTAATATATAAGTCATTTTCCAATGATTTCAAAACCATTCGTTCCAAGCAAGTTCGGAGCAAACCCCTCACTTCCATAAGCCTACTCTGCTCTGATTGGTCAGCTGGCCAAGCCTGTTGTGATTGGCACAGAGAAGAGTCCTTGAGCAAGTTAGCGAGCGCTACCATTGACAAAGCACCTTTGCATAAAACAATAATATAGTGCTCCAATCCGTTCTTATAATAATGACATAAAATACAAACACACTTATGCAAGCGAATCGTGCCCACAGCTAAAGTTTAGCTGCTAAACTGTAAACACTTAAAACAATAATGGTGGATACGTTAGCCGAGTGCTAACGTGACTAACTGATGAAACCATACAGATTGTAAACTAAAATATGTCTACTGTAATGTTTGAAGAACGACGCTTAACTTTTAATCAGAACCCAGAACAGCTGTATCACAGGCGCACCAGCGGCCAGCCTGTAACTCGCTCGTCTCTCCCGCATTAACCATATAACTGCCGGTGCAGCAAAATAAACAGCAATTTCACAATGATAAAGTCTGTGTGCTACACAGTATCTACATTAATGGACACATTCTTAGGAAATAGTGGGTTCACAGCGAATTATCAGAACTACTTCAGTAAGACAGTAATATCGTGCTTTACCTGGAAACCTAAAGCTGCACTAGGTATACATCACATATTAGCACAAAAACGTGATCTTTTGAGCACTCAATTGAAAATGTACACATAACGCACGGGTTGTGGTTCGGAGAGTTTGTTAGCCCAAATTAAGAAGATTAGAAGCCAACAAAGATAAAAGCCAAGATTAGAGAAGCAGTCCTTGGTAAAAATAACAAGCACAAATGAAAAGGTTGGAATTGTATTTCTGTGGTATCCTTGAACACAGCATCTTCTCAACATGATGTAAACACACTAACTAGCGGAAGTGTTTGTGGGCAGGTCAGAGTGTTCGTATTTCGCGGGCAGGCGGGGATTATGCAAATGTGTTACCCAGTGACGTATACCAGTAACAGGCAAAAGATTAGAAAATATGACGACTCGTTTAGGCGATTGAGAATCGACTCTCTCTTTTGAGAGACAATGGGCCTCATTTACGAAACAAACATACGACAGAAAATTGGGCGTATGCTCGTTTCAACGCAAAACTTGGAATTTATCAATATGGACGTGAGCGGTGGCTACGATCAAATCTCACGTCTGGTCTCAGCTCATGTACGCAAGTTTTTGAGTTACCTGAACTATTGAACTTGCGCGTAGCATAGTAAATATGGTGGAGAATTGTAGCATGACAACATTTAGTTAACTTTTATTTTCCTGACTGTCAAACGAAGCTCATTAGTCGATCGTTAACCAGTACGATTAGAATGTTTTTTTTTTTTTTTAGCTTTATATGCGCGAATAGCGGCATAAACAAAACCATGAGGATTCAATCGTCGCATCATGCACCTGCTGCGCTTCTGTGAAAGGAGAAAAACTGAAATTAAGTCTATAAAAGGAATAAAATAAATAAGATCACACAAAATATATAATAGGCTATAATATAATTAAAAGATTAACAAAAGGGGGGGAAAACACTGTGCAACAAGTATAGGTTGTGCTCGTTTTTGTGACACTCTTAATGCATTTAATTTCTTTTCTTTATATCTTTATTTGATTTAATCCATCTGATCGCACTGGCGCCTCACGCACACACAAACAACATTAGTTCTACCGTTGCCTGACATTTCAGCCATTCATCATCAAACAAAAATTCAGTCAACCAAACAAAAGCATGTTTAGGCTACATAATAAATAATAGTTATGCAAACAAATGTTACAAATATGGCAAAAATGGAAACATTTGGATTCTTGTTAAGCCTATGAGACATAGGCTCGTGAGCCCAATGCCGTTTCAGTTTTGCATGACATTTGTATGCTGTTTATAATGAATGCCACTATAGTCTAATTTGTTCTTGTTCTGTTCTGAACACCATTAAATTTAAAATATTTGTTGTAGAGTGAGGGGAACTAAATAGGCTGTTTATATTTACCAGTATTTTAATATACATATAAATTAATGTAGCCTAATTGTTTTCAATTACAAGGTTAACGGGTGTTTTTGGAGTAAGATCAATTTCTCTTTCACGAGATTACTTCCTCTTTTTGGCCGGGTTTCGTTTCTCCATGTTGTAAACTCTAGGGGCCAGGCTTCTAAACCAGGGTGTTTTTAGGGGCGTGATATTCAAATGACGATTGTTTTCTGCCGCCACATTTATCAACGTGCGACCATTCGTATAATGAGATTGGCGGCATACGAATGTTTCATGAATCACATGTGAACTCTGTCGTAAGTTGATTTGTGTGCACAGATCTGCGCTCGTTTCTACGTTAGATTGATAAATGAGGCCCAATATCTTTATTTATTATGCACTTTTTTGATTAACAACTTTGCAGATTGTTTTTATTTAAGGATAGCTATGTTCAAAAACCCATATGACCTGCTCTTTAATGATATATAATACCAGTATCCATAGATAAAACAATAATATAATAATAATAATATATATAAATGTAAAATGCCTCAAATCTCTTGCACAGCATTCAAAATATCACAAACACATCTCAAAAGCAAACACTTGCAGACACCTTTGCCATAATATTAATTCCTGTTAGATTTGTGTGTGTTACATAGAGAATTGTTGTGTTTTGCAAAAAGTGTTTTATGAAATTGAAAACTGAGTATTATATATATATATATATAATCTGCCGATACAAACATCCATATCCACTAAAATATGTAATAAAAGATCAACAAGATTCAAAATATGTATTGGCATTGTTGAGATTAGATGCTATGAATGCCATTATCGCATCAGTGTGTGGAGTGAGTCCGCGTTTAGTGAAACCTTTCACAGGTTGTCTGGGTCCAACTCATGTGTAATGATTCGGATAATTGCGCTGTGTGCTGATTTAATGGAGGTGCTGGGTGTTTCTTAATGCATAAGACCCGGATAATGAATTCAGCTGTCACATATGTTATACACGTGAGTCTGATTTAACTATCAGAACCAAGAGGAGAGAGAGTGGTTTATCAAGGCTGTTTTTTAGTAGTTTATATTATATTATATTATATTATATTATATTATATTCATTCATTCATTCATTCACTATTTTTAGTTACCCAAGAATTATATTTTAATTTATTTTAGTAATATTTTGGGGTATTGTATTGTGATATAAGTTTACTGACTGATATACACTCTTAAAAATAAAGGTGCTTCACGATGCCATAGAAGAACCTTTTTGTCTAAATGGTTCCATAAAGAACCTTTAATATCTGAAGAACCTTTCTGTTTCACAAAAGGTTCTTTGTGGCGAAATAAGGATCTTCAGATTATAAAAACGCAAGAAAGAGATGGTTCTTTAAAGAACCTTTGACTGAATGGTTCTTTGTGGAACCAAAAATGGTTCTTCTATGGCATCACTTGAAGAACCTTTTGAAGCACCTTTATTTTTAAGAGTGTAGGTTTGTGGTCATAGCTTTAGATTAAAGTATGTGTTATTCAAATGCATGAGTGTTATCCTTGATGACTAATGACTTTGTATTTTCTGGGCTCCTGACAATGTTTACTTTCTTGGTTGTGGTTAAAATGGCACTGAGAGACAAAGATGTTGAAGTGTAGTGAAGATAACCAAGAAAGCATGCAGTTATTTTACTGCAACAGTTCTTTAAACTATCCATGTGTGGTGACATTTCAAATGACTGTTATTTAAAAGCAAACAAAAACATCGTAGAGACGTATTTCGCTGTTGCCTTTGGGTAATCTGTTTAACAAGGAAAATATAAATCGGCTGAAATCTCTTTCGTTCCCACACACTGAAAGTGTAATCAATAATTATAAAATGAAAGCCTGTCTTAGAAGAAGTATGAGAGTGGAGTGACCTATAATTAAATGATTAAGAGTGATTTAAGTGTTTGCTTGAGTTTGGATATGTAGGTGGAATGGAATTGGTCTCTCTGTCGTACTATGGTAGAGTGGAGAAAGTAAGCTGAAGGTCATGGGTCTTAAATTCATAAATTAAATATATAAATGTTATATATATATATATATATATATATATATATATATATATATGTGTGTGTGTGTGTAAAAAAAGAGTTTTAAATAGT